ACACACACACACACACACACACACACACACACTCTCTCGCTCTCTCTCTCTCACACACACACACACACACACACACTTTACAGCTATAAATACACCGAAACAGCTATTGTTTTCTTGATTTTGCTTCAACAGAAATCATCAAAGTAATAAAGCAGTCATAAATACCTGCCGGTTCTCGGTGTGTTCGCTGTAGAGTGAGTTTCTGCGCATGCGCTTCGAGCTCCGAACAGATAAATATAGAGCGACAGATCGAATATCAGCAGGAGCTCAAAAACCCCTCACGACTGCACGATACAAACACCTGCTTTACTGGGAACACATTTACTGTAGCGCTTACAGTTTAACAACAATATGAAGGTTAAACGACGCCTAAATCACAGATTCGGTTCTTCAGTCGGTGCCATTATCTAATTAACTCAGATGTAAAGTTTACATTTAAATAGGCCTATATTTATATTTAGACTTTAATTTATATACATTTTCGGTTTATGTTAAATATGTACATTTTACACATAAATCATAAATTATAAACCCAGGACAGCTTCAATAATATTCTTCAAATTGATTCACTAAAATTGGTTAAATTATTTTTGTTTTCAAATCGGGTTGAATTGTATCAAATTATTTATCCAATAAAGCCTTTATAGAAAATGTAAGAAAGTATAATTTCAGTGGTATCATTTTGAATGAATGAATATTAATTGACAGAACTGATCTGAATCAGCAGTGTTTCATCTGCATGTTTAAACAGAAATATCATGTAAAGTATAGGCTCATCTGATTTAGAGTGTTAGCTCTTGCTCTATGTATTTTTAATTCACATTTGCTGTTTGTTTTCCATTATTGTCCAATTTAAAATTTGAGGGATGTCATAATCTTTTGATGACTACTGTAACAATGGAATGATTTCTATTTTAATGTTACAGTTCGGGTATTTGTAGCAGCAGCTCTTATTGTACAGATACAGTTTGTTAAAATCTGGCATAATAATAAAGAATCTGTGCGTCACGAGGACGCTGGAATTCCCCGTCACGTGACCGCAGGAAGCTGACAGCTGATGACGGCGGAAGCGCAACACAAACACCGACGCGATGAGCGACGCGGACAGCGAGCGTATGGACAGTCTGGACGGATGGGTCGCCGTTAAACGCGACGCCTTCGACGACAGCGAGAGCCACAAACTCAGATTCATCGTGGAGTGGAACGAGATCGAGACGAAGTTCGCGGTGACGTGTCATAACCGGACGCTGCAGCGGCGCGGCGACGCGAGCGGCAGCTGCGCGGGTCTGTTCTCCGGCGCGCAGCTGAGCGGCGTTGGAGCGCACCTGAGCGGCGTCCGGGATGAGCTCGGCCCGCTGTTTCCCGACCTGACGCGCTTCTGCGAGCCGAGCCTGTGGGAGCTGCTGTTCTCCAGCGCGCCGCGGTGCGATGCTGACGCGGCCTGCAGGCAGCTGGAGCGCTACTTCGGCGCCGCGGTGGACGCGTGCGGCCGCAAGATCGTGCTGGACGCGCTCTTCAGCGTCACTGCGGCGGACGAGCGCGAGTACTTCGAAAACCTGCAGGAGTTTAAATGCAAAGCGATGCGCGACGAGATGACGCGCGCCAAAGACACACTGTGCGCGGTGAGACGCGACATATTCTATTCTATTCTATTCTATTCTATTCCATTCCATTCCATTCTATTGTGTTTTAGTGTTTTCTATTATGTTGTGTTCTATTCTGTTCAATTCTATTCTGTGTTGTTCTATTCTATTGCGTTCCATTCCATTCTGTTTGATTGTGTTCTGTTCTATTCTGTTTTATTCTACTCTATTCTATTGTTCTATTCCAATCTGTTTAATTGTGTTCTATTCTATTCTATTGTGTTCAATTCGATTTGATTATTCTATTCTATTGTGTTCCATTCAATTCCATTCGATTGTGTTCTGTTCTGTTCTATTCTAGTGTGTTCCATTCCATTCTGTTTAATTGTGTTCTATTCTACTGCGTTCAATTCGGTTTGATTATTCAATTCTATTCTATTGTGTTCCATTACATTCTGTTTGATTCTATTCTATTCTATTGTGTTCAGTTCTATTTGATTATTCTATTCTATTGTGTTCCATTCAATTATATTTGATTGTGTTCTGTTCTATTCTATTGTGTTCCATTCCATTCTGTTTAATTGTGTTCTATTCTATTCTATTCTACTCTATTGTATTCCATTCTGTTTGATTGTGTTCTGTTTAGGGCTGTGCAGTCATGCGCATCTCTTCAGTAAATCTCCAGCACGTGCTTTCAGATGGAGCAGCATGCACTACACAGAGCCGTAGATCACTGACAAGCTGCACAAAATCACGTTCACTATGGCTCTGTGTAGTGCATGCTGCTCCATCTGGAAGCACGTGCTGGAGATTTACTGAAGAGATGCGCATGAAAATCACATTCGATTTTTTGCACAGCCCTAGTTCTGTTCTATTCTATTCCGCTCAGTAGAGTTTCATTCTGCCGGTGGTTGAGGTTGAGTGAGGATGATGATGGTGTTTTTGTTCTTCAGCAGCTGCAGACTCATCCCAGCACTGACGGGCTCCAGCGGCTGATGAAGATCTATGAGGAGGAAGATGAGGCTTACAGGGCATTAGTGAGTGTGGCGACGAAGTTCTACCAGAACCTTCTGCAGCCCTTCAGAGACATGCGAGAGATCGCCACGCTCTACAAGACGGAGATTCTGGTACCTGCACACAGCTCACAGATGTGATGATGAAAGATAATGTGGGTTCAGCTGATAAACACGATGTTAAGAAGCAGCAGAAGCTGATGGACGTGTGTCTGTGTTTGTTCAGAAATGTCTGCAGTACGAGGAGCTGGGGCCGAAGCGTGTGAGTGAACTGGAGGCAGAGATGAATGAATGGAATCAGCGCGGAGAAAAAGCTGTTCACTCCATACAGGACATCACAGCCGACTACTTCAGAGACACGTCCAGAGCGCTCACAGGTCTCACACACAGCTGATTTACACCGCGCTATACATTCAGATCTTTTAGAAAGTATTTAATAAATGCATCTGATGCATCACTTCTCACCACAGTCTAGAAAATGCCTCAAAAGTGACAAAGCAACAAAATGCACAAATATATCATAGATTCTCTTGTGAACTCCAGTACAGTCTGCCAACACACACAGATCGTCTTTTTAAGATCTTTCCAGTGATAATCAGAATAGAATAGAATAGAATATAACATAATGTGAATGTTTGTGTGGATGTATTCTAAAATGCGCTTCATAAACAATAAAGTTTGCTTTGCATATGTCTGTGGTTCGGACAGACAACTCTTTCATATTTGTGCAAATGCCTCTTAATGTGTAACACACACACACACACACACTCACACACACACACTCTCTCACACACACACACACACACACACACACTCTCTCTCTCACACACACACACACACACACACACACTCTCTCTCACACACACACACACACACTCACACACACACACTCTCACACACACACACACTCTCTCTCTCACACACACACACACACACACACACACTCTCTCTCACACACACACACACACACTCACACACACACACTCTCACACACACACACACTCTCTCTCTCACACACACACACACACACACACACACTCTCTCTCACACACACACACACACACTCACACACACACACTCTCACACACACACACACTCTCTCTCTCACACACACACACACACACACACACACTCTCTCTCACACACACACACACACACTCACACACACACACTCTCACACACACACACACTCTCTCTCTCACACACACACACACACACACACACACTCTCTCTCACACACACACACACACACTCACACACACACACTCTCACACACACACACACTCTCTCTCTCACACACACACACACACACACACACACTCTCCGTCCCTGAACTCTCTCATCTGTGTGTGACAGTTCATCTCTGCTGATTACCCATGTTTTTATTACTGACCTGTGTGTGTGTTTCTTCAGGTATGGTGAAACAGATGGAACAGGATCAGAAGAGATTTGGCCACGCCTCTTGGGCAATGGCCACGCCCAGACAAGAGAAACTCAGAGTCCTATTGGCTAAAGAGATGCTGCAGTACATGAGAGCAAAAGAGATGTGCATCAAACGCAAGAGAGATGAGATCCGAGAGAAGGTGTGTGTGTGTGAGAGAGAGAGAGAGAGAGAGAGAGAGAGAGAGAGAGAGAGAGAGAGAGAGAGAGAGAGAGAGAGAGAGAGAGAGAGAGAGAGAGAGAGAGAGAGAGAGAGAGAGAGAGAGAGAGAGAGAGAGAGAGAGAGAGAGAGAGAGAGAGAGAGAGAGAGAGAGAGAGAGAGAGAGAGAGAGAGAGAGAGAGAGAGAGAGAGAGAGAGAGAGAGAGAGAGAGAGAGAGAGAGAGAGAGAGAGAGAGAGAGAGAGAGAGAGAGAGAGAGAGAGAGAGAGAGAGAGAGAGAGAGAGAGAGAGAGAGAGAGAGAGAGAGAGAGAGAGAGAGAGAGAGAGAGAGAGAGAGAGAGAGAGAGAGAGAGAGAGAGAGAGAGAGAGAGAGAGAGAGAGAGAGAGAGAGAGAGAGAGAGAGAGAGAGAGAGAGAGAGAGAGAGAGAGAGAGAGAGAGAGAGAGAGAGAGAGAGAGAGAGAGAGAGAGAGAGAGAGAGAGAGAGAGAGAGAGAGAGAGAGAGAGAGAGAGAGAGAGAGTGTGTGTGTGTGTGAGAGAGAGAGTGTGTGTGTGTGTCTTTAACACTGGATAATGGATGCAAACAGCCTGTAAAATCTGACACACTGATATGTTTTTGTATTTTAACACCTGAAAGTTTGATCAGTATTTGCATATTCATATGCTCTTTCAATGTTTATGTCTCAGAATGTGTCAGTGATCCACAAGAGGGAGCAGTTTCACTCTGCTGTCATTCAGATGCAGTGTTTTAAAGTGCATTATGGGTATTATGATGCCGGGTCCGTGTATTTCTGGTTTGACATATTATAATGTCACACAAACACTCTAATCTGAGTTCAAGGCCTGTTGGAGGACCATGAAGAGGAGTGATGCTGTTCATCTGTGACACGTCAATATTTAATTCTGTGCTGTCAGACAACACACACACACACACACATACACACACACATGCCGTCAGGTGACACGGATGGTAACAGGTGTGTGTGTGCAGATGCGTGGCGTTACAGCGGGCGGCTTGGAGGCCGTGAGTGTCATCCGTGAGCTGGAGCTGCAGTATTACGAGACGCAGCTGGAGCTTCACGACTGCAGGTTTGAGATCCTGAGGAACGAAGAGCTGCTGCTGCTGACACAGATCAAGAGCACTCAGCGACAGATCAGAGGTCACACACACACACACACACACACACATGTTGTGTATTCATCACGTTATGGGGACATTCCATAGGCGTAATGGTTTTTATACTGTACAAACTGTATGTGCTACTGCCCTACACCAACCCTACCCCTAAACCTACCCCTTACAGGAAACTTTGTGCTATTTTACTTTCTCAAAAAAACTCATTCTGTATGATTTATAAGCTTGTTTCCTCATGGGGACCTCAAAAATGTCCCCACAAGGTCAAAATTTACTGGTATTACTATACTTGTGGGGACATTTGGTCCCCATAACGTGATGAATACCAGGTGCACACACACACACACACACACACACACACACACATGTTGTGTATTCATCACGTTATGGGGACATCCCATAGGCGTAATGGTTTTTATACTGTAAAAACTGTATGTGCTACTGCCCTACACCAACCCTACCCCTAAACCTACCCCTCACAGGAAACTTTGTGCAATTTTACTTTCTCAAAAAAACTCATTCTGTATGATTTATAAGCTTGTTTCCTCATGGGGACCTCAAAAATGTCCCCACAAGGTCAAAATTTACTAGTATTACTATACTTGTGGGGACATTTGGTCCCCATAACGTGATAAATACCAGGTACACACACACACACACACACACACA